CTGCAGCTCGCGGAGATGGCGCTCCGGCAGCTCGCTTTTCTCCTTTTTTGTTGAATTAAAGGCCGGAGGAAAGGCAGACCCTGCCCCCTGTAAGCTGCACGGACACGGTGGACCCCCGCCGCCCCCCGTCTCCAGCCTTCAGTCCCTCTTCACACGGGTACAGCGGCTCTGTGCTCTCGGGCTCTGTTAAGGGGTGAAGCTGCTAAAATGTACTGACAGCTTAAGAAATGAATGAGGGTTTTTTTCAGCCGTGAAGAAAGAGTATTTAATAACCACGCTTCGACGGCATCGTGCTTCTGTGAAACGAGTCGGGACACTTTGGTTTAACAATCAGTAACATCACATTCAGCCCGCATCTCTAATTCCATTTCCCCTTGACTCTAAGCTTGCCTTGCTTCCTCCAGCTGACCCGGGCAGTTAAGGTGCGGGCTGCTCCGCAGACACTGGTGCCCTGCTGCTAAGGCATGGCCAGCGGGGACGGAGCGGTGCGCTGCTGAGGGGAAGAGGCAGACAAACGTTTTGAAGGGGGGCAAATGGGACTGAGGGTGGGTGGAAGGATGGATGGATGGATGGATGGATGGATGGATGGATGGATGGATGGATGGAGGCGAAGAGGGAGAGGAAGAAGTATTCAACAGTCCACCCTTCTGTCCGCGTTTGTGGGTTTCAGTTTGGGTGTCCGTCTCTAGCCAACTTCCAGTTAATCCTCAACAGCTGGTAGTGGTGCTAACGTGTAGCGATTAGAAGTTAGTCTGCTTAGCGTGCTGTATCCTTCTTTCGTGGGTTTTGGTTACAGGTTATACGATTAGGATTGCGAGAACAGTAGTGAACTAAACTTCCCAGTAAGAGGTCTTCACACCAGGGAAGTGTTACTTTGCCGCAGCAGCCCTGCCTCGTCAGTCATTAGGAAGCTGCAGGTTGTCAGAGGCTTCTCTTGCGCGCACACACGCGCAGACACACACACGCACACACACAAAACCACAGCACTAAAACTAAATTAAGAAGCCGATGATTAAGACAAGCGTCTACGAGGCCTGTCATTTCAGCATCCTTCCATCATAACATTGTGGCACCGAGAAATTTGCTTGAAAACCGTGGAAAAAATGTCTATGGGAGAGCCTCGTATTTGAGATAGCGTAAATGTTAACATCAGATATAGACTGGGAGCTGCCTCGGATGCAAGATAAGCGTTCCGCAGAGGAAAGGAGCACCGCAGAGACCTTCGGGCTATCCCCGCTCTCCCGAAACTCTGGTGAGTATCTCCCCCTCCTCTGGCAGCAGGTACGCAGGCACCGGGTGACTGGAACTGGACGGGGTTTTCACTCCGCAGCTATGCTCCCCTCGGAGACTTCGGGGAACTCCACCTAAAGATAGATCTGTAACGAAAAGTCCCTGCCGGATGACTAATGGTTGTTCGCGCTCGGTGCCCCTTTAAGGAGAGCAGCACATATTGCGCCGGAGACCTTGTAAGCTCCCTTTAAATACAAACATTTTCAGCCCCCCTCCCATGCGTCCCCACCCC